AACTCTGGGCCTGGGCACTGTCCCTCAGCTCTTCAGCTCAAGGCTAGCGCTCTACCACTTGAGCCACAGCGCCACTTCCGGCTTTTTTCTTTTTGCTTATGTGGTGCTGAGGAATCGAACCCAGGGCTTCGAGCATGCAAGGCAAGCGCTCTACCACTGAGCCACCTTCCCAGCCCCAGAATTGTATTTTTTACTTGACTTGTGTAACTGTAACCCCCGCTGTATATCACCTTTAAAACAATTAAAAAACAGAAACAATCTGTCTACTGAGAAAAAACAAAAAACAAAAAATCCCCAAAAACCCTTACTATAGGATCCAGTGTTAGAACACGTGCTTTAGCATGCAGGAGGTCCTGGGTCAATCCCTAGGGCCAAAACAAAAACAACAAAACTACTTATAAGTTGAGTTGTTTCACCTTTAAAAAATTTAACTGACAGGCTGGGAAGGTGGCTCAGTGGTAGAGCGCTTGCCTTGCATGCCTGAGGCCCTGAGTTCTATTCCTCAGCACCACATAAGCAAAAAGAAAAAAGCCGGAAGTGGCTCAAGTGGTAGAGCGCTAGCTTTGAGCTGAAGAGCTGAGGGACAGCGCCCAGGCCCAGAGTTCAGGCCCAAGACCGGACTCCCCCTCTCCCCCCCAAAAATTTAACTGAGCAGGGTGCCAGTGGTTTACATCTGTAATCCTAGCTACTCAGGAGGCTAAGATCTGAGGATCGAGGTTCAAAGCCAGCTGGGGAAGGAAAGTCCATGAGACTATTATCTCCAATTAACCACCAGAAAACTGGAAGTGGTGCTGTGGCTCAAGTGCTGGAGAGCTCACCTTGAGCTGAAGACCTGAGGGACAGCAACCAGGCCCAGAGTTCAAGCCCCACGACTGACTGACCAAACCAACAAAATTTAACTGAAATACTTTTAAGTATACATCAAGATTTGGTCATTTGTCAATATCCTGGTTTATATATGCCCATAAACTGTCCAGGACACCATGGAAACAAAAGATGCTCACAAGTAAATTCATGCTTAGACATGTAGAGTGCTAAGGGAACCTCGGTTTGCCTTTTTTTTTTTTTTTTTTTTAATTTTGGGTCCGGTCGTGGGCCTGAACTCTGAGCCTAGGCGCTGCCCCTCAGTGCTCAACCACTTGAGCCACAGCACCACTTCTGGCATTTTTTTTTTTTGCTTATGGGTGCTGAGGAATTGAACCCAGGGCCTCAAGCATGCAAGGCAAGTGCTTTACCACTGAGCCACCTTCCCAGCCCTTGGTTTGCCTTCTTTAGTGAAGGTCAGTAACTGATGCCTAAATCAACATTTGTTCCACAAATGGTCCACCAGAGGGCACAAGCAGCTAGCACGTCCTTCCTGATAAGGAAAAGGGGCTGAGAAGGTTGGATACAAACTTATTTTACAAAAATCATTGATTTTTCTAAATGACCAGTCACTAACTTAAAAAATAAAGAGAAATTTCACAATAGCAGCTAAAGCTATGAAGAACTGGTAGTGACCTAATAATATATAGGAGCCGGGCGCCGGTGGCTTTGTCTGTAATCCTAGCTCCTTAGGAGGCAGGCTGAGATCTGAGAATCGAGGTTCAAAATCAGCCTGGGCAGGAAAATCCATGAGACACTTATCCCCAATTTGCCACTAGAAAACCAGAAGTGGCGCTGTGGTTCAAATGGCAGAGTGCTCGCCTTGAGCTGAAGAGCTGAGGGACAGTGCTTAGGCCCAGAGTTCAAGCACCACTACCAACAAAAACAAACAAACAAAAAAGCTGAACACCAATTTGGCTGGATCCTGGATTCTAGGTTCAAAGCCTCTGAGGAAGGCTTTCTTTTTTTGGGTTGTGGTGCTTGAACTCTGGGCCTGGGTACTGTCCCTTACAAAGACTACCTCTTTAAGATGACTGAAAAATATAAAGACCACCTACGTGGAGAGATCCTATCACTTCTGTGGGTGGGTGATGTCACTATAGAAGACACCATTGAACTATATACTGTCCTAGCCTAAATCACAGCTAATTTTTTTTTTTTTTTTGGTCAGTTGTGGGTTTGACCTCTGGGCCTGGGTGCTGTTCCTCAGCTCTTCAGCTCAAGGCTAGCGTTCTACCACTTGAGCCACAGCACCACTTCCAGCTTTTTCTGCTTATGTGGTGCTGAGGAATTGAACCCAGGACCTCATACACGCAAGGCAAGCACTCTACAACTAAGCCACCTTCCCAGCCCCTGCAGCTGAATGTTTTAAGGAAACGAAAAATAAAAAGGTTTATGAGGAAAAGTTAAGACCCTGAAATAACTGGCCCAATTTTAAAAAGAAGACAAAAAGGAAGATTCACAATAAACAAACGTTAAGATTTCCTACAAGCCTAGTTTTAGAAAGCCATATGCAGAGGCAGAGACCAACGGCAGTAGCCAAGGCTCTTGTCCTATGGAAAGAGGTGACATCAAGCAAGGAATAAGCATTTAGTTGATGGTCTAGCTGAACAAAACTAGAAAAATTAAGACTGGCGTTAGACTACTACCTTAAACCTTAATCCAAAGATTTAAAATAAAAATAAATGGTAAAATGGGAACACTATTAGTGAAACCCTAATGGGAAAGAAGGAAGAAAAGGAAGGAAGGGAAGGAGGGAAGGAAGAAGGAAAGGGAAGAAGGGAAAAAGCAAGCCAACTAGGAGATTAAGGAGGAAATTTTATAGTGTTTTTCAACTTTTTTTTCCTCTTTTTGGAGATACTGGGGTTTGACTTAAGAGGCTCATGCTTGCTAGGCTGGTGTTCTACCACTTGAACCACACTTCAAACCCTACTTTTTGCTGATTATTTGGAGATGGAGCCTGGATTTTTCTCCCCGGACTGGCTTTGCATCAAGATACTTCAGGTCTCAGATTCCTGAGTAGCCAGTGGTTCTCAGCTGATTTTTATTTATTTTTATTTTTTATTTTTTTGGGCCCGGTCGTGGGGCCTGAACTCTGGGCCTGGGCGCTGTCCCTCAGCTCTTCAGCTCAAGGCTAGTGTTCTACCACTTGAGCCATAGCACCACTTCCGGCTTTTTGCTTATGTGGTGCTGAGGAACCCAGGGCCTCAGGCATGCAAGGCAAGCGCTCTACCACTGAGCCACCTTCCCAGCCCCATTTTTTTTTCTTTTTTCTTTTTCCAGGGCTGAGGACCAAACCCAGGGCCTTGCACGTGCCGGGCAGGCGCCCTTTCGCTGGGCTAAACCCCCAGTGATTTTTATTAATAGTACTAGAATGTCTAGAACTCCATGAAGGCAAGAACTTTTTCATGGCTGTACATCTAGCAATTAGAAGACAGCCTGGGACAGTCAATGGTCAATAAATCTACGTATCATCAATAAATGGAGGACATATAGGGTTTTTTTGTTTGTTTGGTCGTGAGGCTTGAACTCTGGGCTTGGGCACTATCCCTCAGCTCTTCAGCTCAAGGCGAGCGTTCTACCGCTTGAGCCATGTCGCCACTTCTGGTTTTCTAGTGGTTTATTGGAGATAAGAGTCTCATGACTTTCCTGCCCGGGCTGGCTTTGAACCGTGATCCTCAGATCTCAGCCTCCTGAGTAGTTAGGATTACAGGCGTGAGCCACTAGCACCCGGCACACATAGTTTTTTAAGAGGAGAGGAAGGCAAGGATAAGTATGGAAAAATAAACAAAGAAGGACAATACTTGAACATGTAATGATATGTCATAACTGGTCCAGAAAAATAATTACCATCTAGGCCATAGTGGCTCATATCTGTAATATTAGCTATTCAGGAGGCTGAGATCTGAGGATTGAAGTTCAAAGCCAGCCCAGTCAGGTAAGTCTGTGAGACCCTTATCTCCAATTAACCACTAAAAAGCCAGAGTGGAGCTGTGGCTCAAATGGTGGAACATCAGCCTTGAGTAAAAAAGCTGAGGCAATACCTAGGCCCTGAGTTCAAGTCTCAGTATATCATTCATAAAGAATATGTTAAACCGGGCGCCCGTGACTCACGCCTGTAATCCTAGCTACTCAGGAGGCTGAGATCTGAGGATCGTGGTTCAAAGCTAGCCCCGGCAGGGAACTCCGATCTCCAATAAACCACCAGAAAACCAGAAGTGGCGTTGTAGTTCAAGTGGTGGAGCGCTAGCCTTGAACTGAAGAGCACAGAGACGGCGCCCAGGCCCAGAGTTCAAGCCCCACGACCGACAAAACAAACAAACAAAAAAAAGAATATGTTAAGAGTGGCAAAATGTTTTTTAGGATAATACATTTAGTTTTCAGAGTCTTTCAATGCTGGTATTATTCCCATCATAGCTAATATAGTTTTCTATGGATGAGTACTGTGCTGGGGGCCTTACTATATATTTAGTGCAGTTAATTCTCAAAATGGCCATATAGGAAAAGTACTATTGCTGCCATTTGGCTAAAGAAGAACTGAGGAGATGGTTTTATTTCTTTATTTTTATTATTATATATATTTTTTGCTGGGCCTGGGACCTCAGTGCTGTCCTGAGCTTCTTTGGCTCAAAGATAGCGCTCCATTTCCGCCAACTTTTGTGAATTTATTGGAAATAAAGAATCCTACGGGCTTTTTGCCTGGGCTGGCTTCGAACCGCGATCTCAGCCTCCTGGAGAGCGAGGATTACAGGCCACCAGCGCCCGGCAGAAAGAAACAGTTTTAAATTCGGATGGTATCAGTGGTGATACCAGTGTCTCATAACAAAACAAAACAAAAGTAGAATTAAAAGCTCTAACTGCCCCCCCCCAAAAATGTCTCGAATTGCAGTGGCTGTATTTCCACGGCTAGAAGTTACGGTCAAAGCGAGGCTTCCGTGGCCGTCCAGGGCCTGCGGCCGGTAAACGCGGCTGAGAAGTACCCGTTGCCAGCTTTAGGTAGGTTCGGGATCGCCGAGGCTGCCGGGAACTGGGCGGCGGCCCCGCCCCGCCCCACGGGCCCGCCTCCAGTGCCTCGCTTGGACTTCGGTGGGAACAAAGCGTCTCTTCTTTCTCACCCTCGTTGTCCCCTACCTTACCTCCCGGTGGCGACCAGCTTTTGGAGAAAGGTATCCACCATGGTATCGAGGAGTTTTACCCTCGAAATGGGTGTGCCGGATTCTGGAGGTGATTCCTCAGACCTTTCCTCCACTCTCGTTGTCGGATCGGCGTTGCTCGCTTCAGCCATGTTGAAGTCGAACCGCCAAATCGAACTGATCTGCCTGTCCCGCCCACCTGATCCCTTGATTGGCCGATCCTAAATTTCGCGCTTGTGATTGGGGCCAGCAGAACGTCTGTCTCTGTGCCGGAAGGAGGCAGGGCAGTGCCGCTGGGTCCGGGGAAGATGAGAGGCACCGCGTTAGCCGCTTGGAAAAATGTGCACAAACTGAATGAAGCTCAGGGACTCCATAAAAACTTTTAATTACACTTCAGACTTAATACAGTGCAACAGTGAATATTCAGTAATATTCACATTTATCACTTGACCAAATGTTGAGTTTGATTTCCATTCCCCTGTCCCTCAATACTCTAGCCATATTTCCTGTATGGCCCAGTCGCCTGATGTGATGTATTCACCAATACTTTCAGCTGCTTTGGTCTCCAGTTTTGAGAAAACATAAGTGGCCCATCGTCCCATTCTCACCAAGAACTGTTTGAAACCAATTCCCTGTCCCTAAACAAGACAAAGTAGGGAATTTAGTTTCTATTCACATCATACAAACTGGAGATGGGAGAAGAGAGGGGGAGGGAGAAGAGAGGAAGAGGGCGAGAGAGAATAAAGATGGAAATCCTCTAAAAGAAAATGAAGGATAGGATCTAGGAGGAAGAGATATAAGGGCATGACTAACTACTGCTCAAACTCTACCCAACATGTCACAGTAGGGAAAGATTTACTCTAGAGAGAGTAGGCGTGGAGCTGGGAAAACCAGTTTTCAATGTTCTTGCTACAGGTTGGCCCTAGTAATAAAGCACTTACCTAACAAGTGTAAGATGCAAGGTTCAAACCCTAATATAGCCACATATGCAAAAAAAAAAAAAAAAAAGTCTCTAGCCAGGTGCTGGTAGCTCATGCCCATGGTTCACAGCTGTAATCCTACTCAGGAGGCTTAGATCTAGAATCAAGGTTCAAGGCCAGCTAGGGCACAGATGTTCACTAGACTCCATCTCCAAATCAGTAGAAAGTAGGGCTGGATGTGCGGTTCAAATGTTATGAGTGCCAGCCTATCAAGCACAAAGTCCTTAGTTCAAATTCCAGTGGAGCAATAAAATCTCATTAACAGAAACTTGAGAGAGGAGCCCTTGCTTCCATTGTATTGGTGGTTCTTATAGTAAAGAGGTAGATGAGGGACAGGGAAAATTCAGAATGATTAGTGGACTCAATCTTCTGGGGCCACAATTGGAGGACTCTCTTGACAAAGTGTAGGAAGAACATGGAAAATTAAAAAAAAAAAAAAAAAAAAGATACTTAAAGAATTCTTACATGTAGAGAAATATACTCTCCAGATTCTGATCTGGCCAGGATGGAAAAATATGGAGCAGCCTATTATATCATGGCCTCATGGCCTGGTAGCTAGCTAGCACCTTTCAAATTGGCACCATGACTTTTCCTATGGGGTAGGATCATTTAAAAGATTTAATGTAGGAAGTGGTGCTGTGGCTCAAGTGGTAGGGCACTAGCCTTCAGCTGAAGAGCTGAGGGATAGCACCCAGGTCCAGAGTTCAGGCCCCACGACTGGGAAAAAAAAAAAAAAGCTTAAAAGTTTTAATGTATCACCCAGGCTACATGTAGTAGAGAGGTGGGGTTTGACTTCCCCCTTTTCATTGCATTAGCTGCAGCTCTACAGCACAGGCTTGATGGAGGTGGGGAAGAACTAAACAGAGAAGGAGCACTATCTCTTAATTCCAAAGGAGAGTGCTTCAACAGGTAATCTCGGCAGTATCAGGCTGGTAAATGCAGTGGTCCTGGATTGGGTGACTTCCCAAACTGTTCTTTATTGTCTTGCAAGCATAAGGTACCATGACTGAGACGACTCTTCACATCCAGAGAGAAGAAAAACAAACATTTGGTATCTCAGAGGTTCACATTGTAAGACAACAATCTGTTGCTGTTGAGTCTGAGTGACTGGGGTATGTATGTTTGTCATGGCTGCCTAGGGCTGGGAACCTCTACTGCCCTCTCCTGGTCCTGGCTCAGCTGGCTTGAGGAGAGATGGTAGGGAACATACAACTCCTCGTCACTTTCCAAACCAAATACTCTCAACCTCACTTTTCAGGGTGGTGTGCAAAGTCCAGTGTACCTCATACAGCTTGATCTTAGAACTGTGCCTTCCATGGTAGCCATCTGGGACTAGGAAAGACAATAGTTCATATTGCCTGAAGGTTTCCAGGACTGGTGGAGCACTGAAGGGATGCTGAACATATAAAGAACTGGGATTGAGGAAGAAGCTACACACATTTTCCCACTTATCTGGAAGGAGTGGGCTCTGACAGCAGGATTGGTGTTTAGGAGGATTAAGACAGTAGCCTGGTTCACAGATGAAATGCACACATAAAACAAAGTATTAACATTTCTTCCTATCCTAGTTATTCCTCCAAAGAAAGGAAGAGGGCTCTGCAGAGCCAGGAACATTGCTGCTCCTATCCCCTGCACAAAAGTGCCAGGCAACTTGCCCTCAAGAAGCAAGGAAAAGTGGTACTAGTAGTCCAGAGGGCAGCTCAGTTCCAAATTAAAATAAGCAAGTATACCTGATGAAGCAGAGCTTAGTGGGGGCTGAAAGCTGACTAGGAAGAGTCAGTGGTGGGAAACAAACTCTCTATGTACAGCTCTTCCTGGAGCCTCAGGGAGAGATGGAAAAGGAAACCAGATGGGCCTGCAGGGTAGGGGTAAGGATGGGGTGGGGTCTTCAGGCCACAATTGAGTACAGGGGTGAGTGAAGAAGCGCAGTTCAGCAGGAAAAACAAAAATAGTGAGGGCAAGTGAGCCAGGCATGGTTCCTTTCTAGCAAGAGCAGTCCAACAGCTCTGCCCTGTTCCAGACAGGCCACCTATCCCAGGGCAGGGCTGGGCATGTGGTGGAAGCATTAAAGAGATGGCACTATCTTTCCTGCTCTGTCCTGGCCCAGATTAGTGTGGGAAACAGCAGGCTTCTCTGCCCACCACTGGCTACCAGTGTCTTGAGTCCACCAACTCGGGTCGGAGGCTGAGTTTCTTGAGGCTCTCGTAGCCCACAACAATGACGATGGTGGAGGGGGTTGCTGAGATGATTCGTGCTGAAAGACCTTTCATGAGGCCCCAAGGCCCCTCTTCGGCCATCAGCTGTCTGAAGGTCAAGATGATAGAGCTTTTGCCTTCAACCTGGAAGAGTCAACACAGTGAAGGGCCAGTTTTCAGTTATAACATTTCTGCTTAGTGTCTGCTACTTTAGGCTCAAGTGGGGGAGAAATAGACTTGGGAGTCAGAAGGGCTAGATCTACTTCAAGGAGATGCACAGTGACTCAGTAAACACTCTCTCTGGTGCCAGACCAGCTAGGTTTGAAGTCTGCTGCCCAGCTTGCTAACAGCATAACCCTAGGTAATTTATTTTTTTCCACCTCAGTTTCATCAAATAAAAAACAGCGCTAATAGTACCTAAGCTATGCCATGAGATTGTTCTGAGCAAAGAAAATAATACTTAGAAATTCTTAGGAAGGTCAGATTCAATCCCCTCTAAAGTCTTCTGCAGTTCTATCAGACTGTGATTTTTTTTTTTTTTTGACCAATCCTGGGGACTTGAACTCAGGGCCTAGGCCCTGTCCCTGAGTTTCTTTTTCTCAAGGCTAACACGCTATCACTAGAGCCACAGTGCCACTTCCAGCCTTTTCTGTTTATGTGGTACTGAGATATCAAACCCAGGATTTCATGCATGCTAGGTACACTCGACCACTGAGCCACATTCCCAGCCCCAGACTATGTTATTTACTTACTTATTGGTCATGGGGCCTGAACTCTGGGTCTAGGCGCTGTCCCTGAGCTCTTCAGCTCAAGGGTAGCACTCTACCACTTGCGCCACAGTGCCACTTCCTGCTTTTTCTGCTTATGTGGTGCTGAGGAATCAAACCCAAGGCTTCATGCATGCAGGGCAAACACTCTACCACTGAGCCACCTTCCCAGCCCTATGTTAAAGGTTTTTTTTTTTTGTCTTCTCCCTTCTTTTCATCATAATGCAATGACCCCACCCTCCCGGACATCATTCTTTTTCTTTTTTGCTAGTCCTGGGTCTTGAACTCTGGGCCTGGGAACTGTCCCAGGGAAGCGCAAGGGAAGCACTCTACCACTTGAGCCACAGTGCCACTTCTGGTTTTCTGGTGGTTAATTCGAGACAAGAGACTCAGACTTCCCTGCCCAGGTTGGCTTTAAACCGATCTCCTCAGCTCTCAGCCTGAGTAGCTAGGATTAGAGGTGTGAGCCACCTACACTGGGTCCAGACATCTTTCTTGATCTACTTTTTCTAAGTTACCCAAGTCAGACATTAAAATCTCTCTTGCTCTCCACCTAAACCTTTATACCCTTTGTCTACTACACACAATTACAAAGATTCTATGGATTGACAGACTATAATTTCAAGCCAGCACCACCAAGAGTTTTATCAACCCATCTGTTGAATACACACAGTACCAACTGTAAAACCTATCAAGAACAGTCATCCTTATTCTCTGTAGAAAGCCCACAGCCTGGTGGAAAAACCAGAGACTTATGAACTTACTTACAATTAATACTTCTAATACACTGGACACTATGATGAAAATGAACTATACAACTCATGAGTAGAGATAGTAGAGAGGGATTGAGGGAATGAGGGAAGACACTGTATGAAAGGAATATACTCATTACCTGACTCATGTAATTATAATGCTTCTGTACATCACCTTTATAATAATAATAAACAAAATTAAACAACTAAAAAAAAAAGTAGGCAGCAGTAGCCATACTTGTACCTGAAAAAAAAAAGTAGTTCTAATAATTAAAAACCTGCAAAGTGAGGAAAGGGTGTTTTCCAGCCTATGTTAATAGACTATAGAACAGGATTCCAGCTAAAGGCAGGAGGAAACTAGTATGAATTCTTAGAGCCTGGGCATACAATAGGTATAGGCATGCAAGGTAGCAGACAGAGTAAGAGAAGCAATCTAAGGAGATTCTAAGTGCTCAGCTAGTTTCTATGAATGGTAAACACAGGAAGGATTTGGATGATTAGGCTGGGCCAAAGAGCACAGAATATGGGCCTAAAGATCATGAAATCTAGTGGAGGAGGAGGCCAGTATTACCTGCACACGAGTTCGGATGACATCCATGGGATTGGTGATGATGGAGGCAGTGGCTGCAGCCATGGGCCCTGAGACGGCTTGAAAGACAATGTGAGGGCACTCCTTAGGACACAGGTACGAGAGCTGCTCTGGAATCCAGGGAAAGATAATGCCTCAAGACATGAGGAATCACCCATCTGCCCTCACTATGCCGGTTGCTTCTACCCATCAGCCTTTGCAAATGACAAGCCCTTGGTCCTTCACTACCTTGGAACTTTACACCTTTCTCTTCTCTGCTTCCACCTGCATCCAACAAAAATTCACATTATACATCTCAGGCCCTTTTTAGAAGTCATCTTGATGATTTCTTGGTTACTTAAGACAAGATTCCTCTGGAGAAAGGAATTCCAAATCCTTTTTGTTTGCAAACTTCTTTGATCTAATAGATAGAAAATCATTCCTGTTGGAAGCTGGTAGCTCATGTGTGTAATACCAGCTACTAAGGAGGTTGAGCTCTTGAGGACTCAGGCTCAAAACCAGCCAACACAGTAAAGTCCATGAGACTCTTATCTCCAGTTAACCACCAGAAAACTGAAAGTGGAGCTGTGGCTCAAAGTAAAAGCTCAGGCCCAGAGTTCCAGCCCCACAACTGACAAAAAACAAACAAACAAAAAAGCTCAGGGTCAGTACCCAGGCCCTCAGTTCAAGCCCCATGATTGACAGGAAAAGAAAGGGAGGGAGGGAGAGAGAGAGAGAGAGAGAGAGAGAGAGAGAGAGAGAGAGGGGGAGGGAAGGAGGAAAGGAGGGAAGGAGGGAGGGGGAGAGAGGGGGAGGGAGGGAAGGGGAGAGAGAGAGAAAGCAAAGCTGTATAATTCTGGTAAGACCATTAAAACCATGATACTGATGGTCTCTGTGGAAGAGAACTGGGTGACTATGATGGATAAAGATCCTTTATCTACTTTTGCCTATCTTGTGAATTTTTATATATTTTTTAATTAATTTATTTATTTGGGTCTGGTCATAGGGCCTGAACTCTGGGCCTGGGTGCTGTCCCTCACCTCTTCAGCTCAAGGCTAGCACTCTACCACTTGAGCCACAGCACCACTTCCGGCTTTTTTTTTTTTTCCTGCTTATGTGGTGCTAAGGAATCGAGCCCAGGGCCTCATGCAAGCAAGGCAAGCGCTCTACCACTGAGCCACCTTCCCAGCCCTTATTTATTTGTGGGTCCTGGGACTTGAACTCTGGGCCTGGGTGCTGTCCCTGAGCATTTCAGCTCAAACAAGCTCTCTACCACTTGAGCCACAGTGCTACTTCTGGGTTTTCTGAGTGGTTTACTGGAGATCAGAATCTCTTGGACTTTCTTTCCCAGGGCTGGCTTGGAACCTTAATCCTCAGATCTCAGCTTCCTGAGTGACTAGGATTACAGGCCTGAGCCACTGGTACCTGGCTATCTTGTGAATTTTGGACTATATGAATGGCTGCTTTTGTGTGCTGGCTTAAAGTCAAGTTCTCCAGCTCCTACTTGACTTTTTTGTTGTTGTTTTGGTTTTTTTTGTTGGTCCTAGGGCCTGAACTCTGGGCCTGGGTGCTGTCCCTGAGCTCTTTAGCTCAAGGCAAGTGCGTTACCACTTGAGCCACAGCTCTACTTCTGGTTTTCTGGTGGTTAATTGGAGATAAGTCTCATGGACTTACCTTGTCTGGGCTGGCTTTGAACTGTGATCCTCAGATCTCAGCCTCCTGAGCAGCTAGGATTACAGGCGTGAGCCACTGGCGCCCAGCTTTCACTTGATGTTTTTGATAATGGCTAATTTTTTTTTTTTTTGGTCAGTCATAGGACTTGAACTCAGAGCATGAATGTTGTCTCTGAGCTTTTGTTCAAGGCTAGTGCTGTACCACTTTGAGCCATAGCTCCACTTCCAGTTTTCTGGTGGGTAATTGGAGAAGAGTCTCACGGGGGCTGGGAAAGTGGCTCAGTGGTAAAGTACTTGCCTTGCATGCGTGAGCCCCTCGGTTCGATTCCTCAGCACCATATAAGCAGAAAAAGCCAGAAGTGGCGCTGTGGCTCAAGTGGTAGAGCGCTAGTCTTGAGCTGAAGAGCTGAGGTACAGCGCCCAGGCCGAGTTCAGGCCCCATGACTGGCAAAAAAAAAAGTCTCAGACTTTCCTGGCCCAATTGACTCTGAACCATGACCATCAGATCTTAGCTACGATTGGAGGTATGAGCCACCAATGCCCTAATGACTAATGTTTTATTATTTGAGCCACACTTCTACTTCTGATATTTTGGTGGCTAATTGGAGATAAAAGTCTTGAGAGGGGCTGAGAAGATGGTTCAGTGGAGGAGTGCTTGCCTTGCATGCATGAGGCCCTGGTTCAATTCCTTAGCACCACATAAGCAGAAAAAGCTGGCAGTGGCACTGTGGCTCAAGAGATAGAGCGCTAGCCTTGAACTGAAGAGCTCAGGGACAGCGCCTAGGCCCAGAAGTTCAGGCCCCACAACCGACCAAAAAAAAAAAAAAAAAGTCTTGAGATTGTCAAGTACCAGTGGCTCATGTCTATAAGAGATGAAGATCTCAGTTAGAAGCCAGCCTGGACAAGAATCATCTCCAGTTAACAAGCAAAAAGCCAAAAGCAGAAGTGTGGGTCAAGTAGTGGAGCACCAGCCTTGAGTGATCTCAGCCTACTGAGTAGTTAGGATTATAGGCATGAGCTACCAGTGCCTGGCAATATGTGAATGTTGTTATAAAAAAAAAAACTCGTTTTAAGGTTGAAAGTCTTGGTGATGAAGCAATAGAAAAGGATCATTCTGCACATACACATCTGAAATACCACAGTGAAACCACTGGGTGCTTTACACACTTAAGTAAGTGACAGGAAAGCAAAACCAGATCTATTGAGGAGGTGGAGCAGGGTGGCTAATGTAGAGGATGGATGAGGATGAATATGTCAGATGTAGTTTATTGCATGTATGAAAATGAAACAATGAGCCAGGCGCCAGTGGCTCACGCCTATAATCCTAGCAACTCAGGAGGCTGAGACCTGGGGACCATGGTTCAAAGCCAGCCCAGGCAAAGAAAGTCCAGGAGAGTCATCTTCAATTAACCACAAGAAAAAACCTCAAGTGGCACTGTGGCTTAAGTGGTAGAGCGCTTGCCTTGAGCTGCAAAGCTCAGGGACTGTGCCAAGGCCTAGAAGCTCCATAACTGACCCAAAAAAAAGAAAGAAAGAAAGAAAAAAAGAAAGGAAAATGAAACAATGAAACCTGTTGAAATTGTTTTAAGAAGGGGAGTGGGGTAAGGGAGAGTAAGAAGGGATAAGACTGATTAGAATACATTGTATACATGTGTGGAAATGTAATAATGAAACTTGCCTTGTATAAATTAATGTATGCTAATAAAAGTAAAATGGAAAGTAATCCCACAGTGAGACTACAAGGTAGTCATGGAAGTCCTTTCCAAGGAAGTCAAGTTTAGGCAAAGACCTGAAGGTAGAAGTCTAAGTCCTATAGATCTATGGAAAGAACTTTCCAAGTACAGGGTCCCATACAAAGGTCCTGAAGATACTTGAGCACACCTCAAGTGTTCTAGGGACAGCAAATCCAGTACCTTGGAGCAGAACAATAATGCTAAGTGAGATCCAAAAGGTAAGCCATTGAGGGCCTGAGACCATTATAAGGATTTAGGCTTGACTTTGAGTAAATTGGGATGTAAAACTGATTCAGGGATTAGAAGAGTGGCCTAAGTGGTAGCCATATCTGACCAGCAAGGTAGAGGCTTTTCAAACCCCAGTACTGGAAGAAAACAAAGACTCATAATTTCAAAGATTCCCTCTCAGTTTTCTCTATAGCCAGTCACCATTCCTTCAACAATTTTTTGTCTCATGTGCCTAATTTTGGTGATTGTTTGAAGTAGGGGAGTGGGTTGGCAGGGAGAAATCAGGCTTCAAAGTTCCAGCTGGCAAAGAAGAATTACTTCAGCTCTAGTAGAACCACCTCTTCTCCAGTTTCTAACAGCTTTCCTCCTCAGTCAGTGTGCAAACAGAAACAAAGTAAACTAGTGGCTGGGCTCCTTGGTATCTTGTTTCTCCTACTAAGAAAACATTTTATAATCATTAGAATGCACATCAGGCCTAGCATTGCTGCCTCCTTGGACTGGTGTGCACTTGCCTTATTCAGATCCTAATTATACACAGCATCACTTTTCTTTGGCTTACAGAAAAGATGAAAACACAAAGGCAAGGGTAAGTCTTGTCAGGTACGGTAATTCATTATCTGTAATCTTAGCACTTGGGAGGTATAGGCGTGATGACAAGTTTGAGCCCAGCCTGGGCTGCATAGCAAGGCACTGTCAAAATGGTAGGAAAAAGAGTCCATGTCTTTCCTTTATTACTCATTCAACAAATGTTTACTGAGTACCCATTATCTACAAGGCAAAAGATAAACCCATGCCAACTTAGTTTAAGTCCCTTCTGACTTTGTACAAATACTGACTTAATATTTACTAGATGCTAAGCAGTGTGATAAATACTATTCATAAAACTGAGAAACAAGACAAGCTCACGCCTGTAATCCTAGTTACTCAAGAGGCTGAGATCTGAGGATCATGGTTCAAAGCCAGCCGGGGCAGGAAAGTCCTGAAACTCTAATCTCCAATAAACCACCAGAAATGGCACTGTGGCTGAAGTGGTAGAGTGCTAGCATTGAGCTGAAGAGCTGAGGGACAGAGCCCAGGCCTAGAGTTCAAGCCCCACAACCAAAAAACAAAACAAAAACAATATAAAACAACAAAAAAAAACCCCTGAGAAACGTGGGAGCCTAGTGGCTCATGCCTGTAATTTTAGCTATTCAGAATGCTGAGATCTGAAGATCATGGTTTGAAGCCAGCCGGGGCAGAAAAATCTGTGAGACTTATCTCCAACTAATTCTCAGAAAACTGGGAATGGTGCTGTGGCTCAAAGTGGTAGAGTGCTAACCTTGAGGGGGAAAAAAAACTCATGTCCTAAGCCCCACTACCGAAAAAAAGAAAAGAAAAGAAAAGAAAAAAGACAACAAAACTAAGAAACAAGCAGGGCATGGTGGTACACACCTATAATCCCAGTACTCCAGAGGCGGGGGTAGGAAGATCGATCACCAGGTTTATGGCAAGATGGGG